TGATAAAATAATTCAAACACATGATTGACTCTGCAAGTTGTTTTTTAAATTTACTTTGGAAGTTATAAGAGGAAATATTTTTCTTTGTCCTGTGTCTTCTTTCTGTTTCCCTTCCTACTTTTATTCCCTCAATATATAATATTATGAATGCAAACTCAAAAATTCAAGGCAAAAGGTGTAGTTTTGCTTCACAGAAATCATGACTTACACTATATAATGAAAACAAGGTAAAAATTGAGTAGAACTGAATTTAAAAAAAAACAAAAAACAAACACAAATGAGGATATATAAAAAAGATTGTCTTTGGAAAATAGATATTTTCTCTTTCTACTAGAAATAGCAAAACGTTCCATAATATTTTCTTTTCTTTCCCAATCGCATGGTTAACTAGCATACATTCCAACATTGTGCATGAGAAAAATTTCTAAGCCAGAGGTATTTAAATAATTTCTTCATAAGTGTTTTGGCTAACTCAGTGGCCGAGAAAACATGTTTAGTCTCTAATTAAATAGAGTCAAGAAACAAAACAGATATAATTTCTGAGGCTTAAGCCAATATGACCCAGCAAAAATTTGTCATTACGTTAGCTCTAAGTCTCCCTTCTCCCAAAAAGGAAAAAAAGTATTGCTTAAGTATACAAGATTCCAATAAACGTTCGACAACTCAGCTTCAGGTGACTTAGGAATAGAGTGAGTGATCTGTAGAGTCTGGAGTGGTCCAAATAACACAGATAACTTCAGTAACAGCTGGAAATGGATGCTGGCCCCCAATCAGGCAGAATACCCAATCGTCAGTTCAAAGTTGGAAACCAAGTACAAACTTCTAAAACACATAACGACAAGTCCAGGAACGTGGCCGGATATAATCCAGAAATGTGGGCTTCAAGGAAAAAACAACAGAAGAGTAATTTACTTGTGTGCACTGTGTGTATGAGATGAGATGGGGTACAGGGGGTGCTACTGTTATATATTATACATCTCTAAAATGCCTCCCAGTGTTTCAGTAACCTCTAAACCATTGGATTGTTGGAAAAGTCATGACGTTATTTTTTCTATGTTTTTCGTTGCAAAAATGTGTCATGACTTTTCCGACAACCCAGTATTTTATTTTAGCACAGCCTTACTTTTACTAGCCTAAACTCTAAATGGTGTTAGGTTAAGGATGATAAAATATATACACAAATTACTATAACACAAGGTTTTGTACCAAAGTTTAGAAACAGGAAATAGATTGGAGCAAGAATTTGAAAGGTGTCATGGAAGATGTTGCATCCAAATTGGATTTTGATAAAATGAAATCTAGCAGGTGGAATTTGAGTGTAAAGAGTACAGTGACCAGAGACAGAGCTTGGAGTCCAGAGCGGTTAGTTCAAATGCACAAAGCAGATTAATAGGAAATAAGGAGGCAGCCTAAGAGCAATGTAACAAAAACAGAATAGATAGTAGGAGGAGCTTGGGCAGAGAAACTGATTATTTTGATTGTGAGTATCTTCAGTGATAGGTGCCTGTGAGAAATACCCAGATATACAACGAAGGCATCCCCTAAATATTTGGGAGTTATCCATATGCAGCTAAAAGCTAAAGGTCTAAGAATGACACTCTTACATAATTATGAAAAATAAAACAACAACAAAAAAGAATCAAGGGAAATGGGACCCTAGGCAGGAGTGTAGCTGGACATTTTTACAAATAGTTAATTACTTTGGAAAGGAAGGGGTAAAAAAAAAAATACTTGTTTAGGTTGGGGGAGGTAAACATGCCATTGGGGAAGCCCTGGAGAACACCTACATTTTTAGGATACAGGAAGAAAATTAGGAGCTAAAGAAAAGGCAGTAAAAGTGAAAGAAAAAAAGAAGAGAACCAAAAAGTAGGACAGTTCAAAGTAAAGAACACCAAAGAAAAGAAAATTCTCAAGGACAGTGCAGTGAGATCAGATAATAAGCTAATGCTTTTACTCCATGTTTCGCGCCCCTTAACACGAATTCATTATCATCTCCACTCCTCTTTCCCCTCAATATTGCCCTCCGGCCCTCACGATCAGGGGACAAGTGGGTTCCTTTTCCGCTTCACCCTAACTGATGACTCACGTTTTTCAGAGGACAGTGCTGCCGTGCATACCACTCTTGAGAATAAAGGCACAGGAGGACTCCATTGCCCGCGAAAAGAGAAGTCCACATCATAACATTCCAAATTGGCCTTTTCCGACTATCATTGACAATGAAGTTGAAAGCCACTAAAGTTAGAAAGATAACAAACATATATATATATATATATATATATATATATATATATATATATATATATATATAGTGAAACATAATCTATCAGGAGATGAGTGGCCTCGGCGATCTGCCGTAATCATTTAATTATCACAATGAGCACCTATTGTGTGTATGCATGTTTTATTCTGGCCACTGTTCCTAGAAATAAAAATGAAGCTCCGGAGTTGAAGTTTATTAATCAGTGATTACTTAGAAATCAGATAGTATTCAGAAGAAAATATGTTTCATTATTCTGATTTGTCCCTCTCCCTCCACCCAAAAAAAGGGCCAGTTCTTTTCACAAGGTGAACACTGACAGAGTTGAAGTATGGGGAAGTTGTTTTTATAGTTTTCGTGACCTGTCAAAAACCAGAATTATTAATAGTCTTCAAGAAGTTGAGTTCATTTACCGACTTCGAAGTGTAGGCATCTTGAAACAGAGTTGTGTATAGTTACTCAAAATGAATGTTCTTACCATCTGATAAGCAACTATTGCCTTGAGATGGTATTACTACCTACGACCTAGTTCTCTGCGTTGACTTTAAACTTTATTTTCTCACTGTCTCTGTTAGCATCACACTCAGCCCTCATGGCATGCGAAGACACTTACTTCCAAAGAACATGAAGAGCACGAAGAGCACTGGGTAGAAAAAGCTCAGGCAAACGGCCAGGGCATACTCGTGCACGACCGCAGACACCGCGAAGACAGCTAACATGGCGGCCGACCTGAATCTCTTAGTGAAAAACTAGGGTCAAAACAAAGTGTTAAAAAGTAGTTTTAACAAAGTTGGTAGTTAAGCACGAACTATACATATGACTTAAAATTACCGCATGCTAAGGCACCTGTTGAATTATATGTATATGTGATTGTCCAATCTACTCCTTGAATTAATCCAAATGTATTATAATAATGTCAAAAAAATAATCTATGCTTGAAAATCCTTATTTTACTAAAATGAGGCATTTTCAAAACCACCGATGTTGAAAGATCTGGGTATATTTTCAAAAACATCGACAACTTATACTTCTAAATCACTATGGTTCACAAAACATAGCTTCAATGTGTAAACAGATACATCAATTCTCAATCTTTAGAATAACACCAAGGCTGCCAGGCGGGCGTCCTCTCCACTTTTATAGGTAACAAAACTGAGATTTAGAAGGAAGGAACTTGCCTTGTCCATAAGTGAAACTACACTTATAAATGATAGAACACTCAAATACTATGTATTTGCACCATAACATGGTGTCATTAAGCCAAACAGTGACCTTATTTAATAATTAAAGTCTGCAAGCCAGAGAAAACCAGTATCAATCAACCATGAGACTCAAGATTACACTTCATCCACCTAAATACATTCTGCTCTAAAGAATATCTCAAAAAACTATATATGTCACCAAATGGAGAGATACAAATCCAAACATAGGTGGTTTTCCACTTTTAACAAACAAAAACAATAATGAAGAAAGCTAGTGGGAGATAATTTGTTGTGAGATTGATAAGAAACCCATTACTGGTGAATCATTTCAACTTCTCCAAACGCTTCCATGCATTCTTATTTTGCGATTATATAAAATAAAATCTAGAGCACAAACATGTTATTAGCTTAGTACCATGTTTCTCTGAAAATAAGACTGGGTCTTATATTAATTTTTGCTCCAAAAGACGCATTTTATTCATTGATTCATGCACAAAAATCTACATTTATTCAAATAGTCATGTCTGGCTGACGACCTTAACTGGGGCTTATTTTGGGGTAGGGCTTATATTACGAGCACCCCGAAAATCATGCTAGGGCTTATTTTCCAGTTAGGGCTTATTTTTGGGGAAACACGGTAACTGTACGTACTGGTATCTAAGCAGTACTATTCAAAGCAGAAGGTTTCTTAGACATAAATGGCTCATAAGAGAATTGAAGACAACCAAGTGTAACTTCTTCCAGGTGCACAATACTTTCTGGAAAAGAATCTCCACTTCTTGACTAACATCACCAAAATCTTGCTGCTTACCCAGAGGAAGTCCTTGTAAGCATAGTAATACAGCCAGTCATGAACCACCACGTTCCAGGTCCTGTAATAGTTGGAGTATGATGTGGAGTTCCACCAATCCTGACGAAAAAAGCAAAGTTATAAAACTACACACATACCACACCCACATACACATACACAAAGAGCCAAAGCAAAAGTTCCTGAATACTCCCAAAGAACATACACACACAACATGAGACCCAGAGTGTGTTATGATAAATGTTTAGTCCACATACTGTAGTCAAAAAATCTTAAAAGGCATTTTGGTTATTAGTGTGTAATATGACATCAATTCTAGTTCTATATTATGATGAACTCCCTATGTTCATTTTGTCTCATTATCAAACAAGTTGTAGTGGAAGCCACAGGACACACAGAATCATTAAATCTAGTGTTCCTCTAAATAGCAACTCATAAGCCCCCCTTATCTTGGTAGGACACAATGAGAGAATCGAAGGTCACATAGAGTTGGATAGCACGCTAATGCTAAGGGGCTGTGTGCAGGTATCAAACAGAAAAACGTAAGCTGTCCAAGGAGTGAGGTGGTGGCTACCTCCAAATCCTGGCGCTCCTTTATATTTACTTTGCCCTCTACTTTAGATCACACCGATGGAATCAGACAACTAAAATTTTCAACCTACGTTCACTATTTCTTTGAGAAAGGAGTGGTAGGGTTGGAGTGTTGCCAAAATCCCAAAACAAACAAACAAAACTCTAGGCTCTGGCTCCAGTCTAGAACTTAATTCCAACTTTGGAAGTGTAAGAATACTATTTTGAGCAGAATTAATGTTTTCCAAAAATAAAGGAGGGAACAGTTATCTCTTTCATGACCTAACAATCTTAAATGGAATGATTTGCTGAGGTCACTCCTGCGGCACCAGACAGCCAATTTCAAACGAATGACCAGCACACTCTCATACTGCTCTGGACACAGCTTTCTTTCTGTAATCACCAAAACGGGACCCAGTAAACAGCAGGTGCTAGATGAAGGAAGCGATATTAAAGGTAGACCATAAGGCTTTGCTAATTATATGGATACCAGAATTTCAGACTTAATATTGATAAAGCTTGTGAAAAAAGTTATTTCTCACTGCTTATATTAAAAAGCTAGTAGCCAACAATGCTCAAATACTTGACAATGGGGACACAAATAAAATGTGATAAGGCCAGTATACATTACCTTATAAAACATCCTGTCACCAAAGCGTAACATCTCAGCGAAGGCATTGAGCCAACAGTGCAAAAAGGCAAAAAAGGTCAGAAACAGTATCAGCACACCTAAAAATAAACAATATTAAGGGTCTTTCCAAAAAAGAAAGAGAAAAAAATACAAAACCAAAAAAAATAAATTAAAAAAACAAGAGTCTTTCCAAATAGCTCACATACCAAGCAGTTCATTATGTCAACATCAGCTTAGCCAGAATCATTTTGTAAAATAAGTTATTCCAGCTTACCCATGTGTTCTTTTGATAGTTAATTATTTTAATTTTATAAAGTAATAACTTCCTTCCAAATGGGTTTTACAGATGACAAATGACCCAGCCTGTTTTTTTTTGTTTGTTTTGTTTTTTTTTTAAGATTTTTATTGGGGAATTGGGGGGATGGGAACAGTACTGGGGAATTGGGGGAAGGGGAACAGACAAGTTGCTGTCGTCTTGTTCTTCAATCTAGTTGTGGAGGACGTTGCTTCACTGGCCCAAGTTGGTACCATCATTGCGCTCTTCCCAGGCGAGGCAGATCAGTCGCCGGCTTCTGGACGGCCGCTCACTGCGGCTGCTGGCCGCTCACGCTGGCTGCTTGCTACACACAGTAGCCCATGGCAACCCACTGCCACAGGGACTGCAGCCTACGCCATCGCAGGCGACTCACGGCAGCCCAGCTCCAGGTTGAGCTGTTGTTCAGCATCTTAGCTGTGGAGGGCAGTGTCACTGGCCCTCATATGTGGGATCCGAACCGGGGCCCTCTGGCGTCCCAAGCCAGTTCTTAACCATCACGCCACTCGGCCGGCCCCATGACCCAGCCTGTTTTTAATAGAAATGTCCAGATGTACAGCTTAACTTGCTACCCAAAGCCCTTTAAAATCTGGCCCTCATGCATTCCTCTAAACCAGTTGTTTAAAACTGGGGGAGATTTTGCCATGCCCTTCCCTGCCCCACCAGGAAACATGGAAACATTTGGCAATTCTGGAGACATTTTTGGTTGTCACAGCTCAAGGGGTGGCGGTGTTGCTACTGGTATCTTGTTGTTAGAGGCCAGGATGTTGCTCAATACCCTACAATGTACAAGACAGTCCCCCCAAATAAAGAATTATCCAGCCCCAAATGTCAATAGTGGTAAGGTTAACTTTCTCCGACTCTACGCCCCCAGTGTTGCAAACATCATCCATAACTGGATTTTTCTAAAGTCCACTCTAAAACAACTCTGCCTTTGCATCTGTCCCACTACCTGAAAGCACCTTTTTACCACTTCTCTGCCAGGCAAACGCCTATCTACTTTCAATACCCAATGTTAAACATCAACTCCAACATGATACAAAGTTCATCAGCACTTTCTTTATCCTCCTTATGTAGTATATATTCCACTATGCGGTAAAATATCCGTTTACATGCCCACCCCTTTCATTCACTTATTTATTAAAAAAATATTTATAGAGCATCTACTATTTATTAGACAATATTTGACTGGCTATAAGCAATAATCCTTGATCTCAAGGAATTTGTAGCTTAGTGAGGAAGACACACAAGTATGTAATATATATCCTATTAAATGGACAGATAAAAGAGTTTACCGAAGTGAACCTTGGGGGGTAATCAGGGAGGGTTACTAGAAGTCTGGGAGAGAAGGAAAGGAAGAGAGAAGGTGATGACGGAAAACATCACCAACATTTAACGGTTACACAAAAAAGAAAAAGTAAAAGAGACTACAAATATAATTAAATTGCAAGCTTCCAGAGAGTAAAGAGTATGTATGTCTTGTTCACTGCTATGTCCTCAGCACCTGGCTCACATATCTCTAAAAAAAAAATAAGTGGAATAAACTAAGTTAGGAGATTGAAGAATGGCCAGGAAGACAGAAGAATAAGAAAGAGTGGCAAGGGAGATTTCAAAATGTGGTCAACGGCATCCAATGCTTCATGGAGATGAAGCAAAGTAAGGGCTAGAGCGTGTACAGGATTTAGAATCAGGAAATTACTAATGATTTTAATAAAGTCTATTCCAGTGGCCTAGCTAGAATAGGAGCAAGATTACGGGAAAACAAAGCCTAAATATGCACTATCCACAGTCAGAGAAAGCAACACTTGAGTGTAAGTCAGAAGACCAATTGGCCTGAGACTGAAATATACTTCATTTATGAGACAGACGGAAAGAGGTCAAGATGGGTATAGATGTGTCGAGTTAACAGTGAAAAGCAGGTAACTCAAAGGTGCTCATACATAATGGCTTTCTATTGTCCTTGCAGCTTTATGAATGGCTAAATTAACCAGTACCCATGTTACCTGGCAAGATGGAGTTAAAAACACACAGGACCAGAACACGTGCGCTGAAGGGTTCCTGCTTGATATTCCGAAACAAGGGGGCGCAGAGCCTTTCAAAGATGTAGTACACGTAAAATAAGCAACCAAAAACCTGGAACGCAACCAAGACATACTTATAATCATGATGGCTCCATAAGGGAAGATAATGATTTTTTCCTTCCAAAGCATATATATAGTCCATTTAACACTAGTAAATAAAATTGCCAAGCTATAACCCTTCAGCTATTACTCATGCCTAGTTTCTACTATATCTTTTCCCAACCCTTTACCAAATAGCATTTTTAAAAGATCAGACCTCTTAGAACTTGCTTTTCCTGCTACATGAAACCCATAGCAAAAGAACTTATTTCATAAATGGGTATTTAATTGAGACAAGAATTTAAAAATGGGAATTTTGGGGATTTATGATTCTGATAAGGGGTTGGAGAGGTTTGGGGAGTGGGCCAGACCACACCCACACACACATATATCCACAAATGAAAAACCAGGAGGGGAGGGGAAAATTAATATAGATGCTTACTGAACTCACCAAATGGAATTACTTTAATTAAAATAAATTCGTTTATTGAAGAAAATTACTTTTGATGTTGACAACACTGTTTACCGTACTGGGAATAATTTAAAGACTTCAGAAAGAGTTCTAGAGCTCCCAACAGATATGGATTTACCAACTCTTTAAATAGATTAAATTATAATAAATTCAAATCCCCGCCTCCCACTAATCAACAAACCTCAGGCAGTTAAGAAAAATTTACCTGTGCAAACTGCATGGCAACATAACCCCATCTTACAGTGGGAGTCCTAAAAAGGAAGCAACAAAATAAGTTCTCTAACTAAAATAAATCATTGAACTTTAATACAGATCCTCACAATATTTTCCCACACAGAACATAATTTTCGGCATATGAAATACGTGCATAATTCTGTCAAGAATTACTGTAAGCAAATCAAATTGTTAGAACCACCATTTGGGGCTCACCAGGCCAGTGAGACAGTTAAAACTCATTCTATTTTCTCTGTAGCCTTACACGAAGCAGCCCCTACCTACCTATCCCACCCCGCCTAGGCCACACTTCCGGTACTCACCACGTTCCTACTTCACAGCGCCATTACCTGGGATAGTTGTCACGGTAGATGAGGGTAGGAGCAAACAAGAAGTACAAGTACTGGTTGACGGTGGGTACCGGGACAGTGCCTGGAAAAGGACAACTATGCTTAGGTCACAAGCTCTTCAATTTCTCCTAGCAAAACTAGAAGGAAATAAGGAAGCACGGAATAGGGAAGAATAAAACTACCTTTCCTTGGTTCATATTTTCTTTCTGATCTTCCCAAAATGAGGACTTCTTATTCTTATATTAATATACCAATCCCTCTAAACTAAGCTATTCCTGTGACTTAGAGATAACTTTTAGAGTTTTAAGCAGCAATTCAAAGAGTAATAAGTACACATGGGTGTATGGAGTCTATTAATATTCTATAAAAAATTACGCAAAGTTGGGGCCGGCCGAGTGGCGCGATGGTTAAGAACTGGCTTGGGATGCCAGAGGGCCCCGGTTCAGATCCCACATGTGAGGGCCAGTGACACTGCCCTCTACAGCTAAGATGCTGAACAACAGCTCAACCTGGAGCTGGGCTGCCGTGAGTCACCGGTGATGGCGTAGGCTGCAGCCCCTGCTGCAGTGGGTTGCCATGGGCTACAGTGAGTTTCCAGCAGACAGCATGAGTGGCCAGCAGCCAGCGTGAGTGGCCAGCAGCCACAGTAAGCGGCCGTTTAGAAGCTGGCGACTGATCTGCCTCACCCGGGAAGAGCGCAATGATGGTATCAACTTGGGCCAGTGAAGCAACATCCTCCACAAGACTGAAGAACAAAACGACAGCAACTTGTGTGTTCCCCTTCCCCCAATTCCCCAGCGCTGTTCCCATACCCCCAATTCCTTAAAAAAAAAAAAAAAAGAGTAGCAAAGAGTGCCTGCTTTAAAAAAACAAAAAAACAAACAAACAAAAAAATTACACAAAGTTACAAGAGTCTAATGATCAATGTTTTTGAATTGTAAGTATGAAAGCAAAACAGGAACAATCACAAAAATAGTGAGATAGTCTTCCAAATCAATGTGGATCCTATATATTTAAAATCAAACATGTACAAAATGTAATATGCCATCCCAATAAAAACCAAAGGCTGAAATACCCTATGAATAATCATTTCACATAATGGAATTATGTACCTGATTTCTCCTTAGCTGAATTTAGGATCCGAGGCACATTCTCTCTGACAAATGAATGGGCTTTCATTATCAAACGAATCTACAAAAGAAGGGGGAAGAAAAAGATGAGTTTTCTATCATTGTTTTGTCTCATATAAGCAACCGCAGAACCACACGAGATTATAGGCACATCAGGAATCTTTTAATTTTGCATATACCAACTCAAGTTCACTTTTATGGAGCAAAGCCAATGGAAACCAAACTCTAAAGAAGGACATGTTATTACTCAAATTATTTTGCGTCTAACAGTACTATTACAGGTATATTACAAATTAAGAAATTAAGAGTGTGTACAAAGAAAGTCTCCTGAGATGGTCCTTTCCATTAGTCAAACAGAGTACTATAGGTGGCCAATATAGGTTAGAAAATTCTGAAGGTGTGTAAACAAAATTCCGTTCTTTAGATGGGAATAATTATATGACAAAGCAATGGATCTGACAGCTCAAAAGTGGGGTTTTTCATTATAAAAATACTGTATAGTATAGAGGACTACCACAAAAAGTGTTCAAGAACAACATTTGGATTAATCCAGGACAGTTCAATATGGTTTATTTCAATTATTAAGAATCAGAGAACACTGAAGCTAGAACAAATTTTAAGAGATGAGGTGAGCTAGCTTCACACTCATTTTACAGATAATAGCACAAAGAACCAGATATGAAAATTTATCCAACTATAATAATATGACTAATAACAACAGAACGTCAGTATAATATTATTGTTGTTATAATAATAACATTAGCAGCAGTAGTACCATTAGTGCTATTATTATTTTAACTGAGCACAGGGTTGCATCAGGCAACACTCAAAACTTTACCTGTTCGAATATAACAATGCACCGGGAAGCTGGTGGCAGTGTATACGCTAATACAATACATGTTGGTCCCAAACCTAGAATTCCAATCTGGAAGACCATGAAAAGCAAGCCATGGAAGACACTGTGGATCACTGGATGAGAACTCTTGCTGTAGCCTCTGGCCCAATGTTGAAAGAGGAAATAGGGAAGTGAAAGTGTGCACAAGAACATGGCACACCACGTCCAAATAGCAACAGGAAGTTTGCCAAAAGCATAAGACATGAGACTGAACTCAAGCACCAGTCTGGGGAGAAAAAGCACAGAGAAAGGGCACGGAAGTGAAATTTTAATACGCATTGATTCACACAATTCACAACGTTCAGGCCCCAAACTCTCAACTTTAGGAAACACAGCAACATTAACACGCTGAAGTCATGGATGTTAATAGTTGTGCTAGATAGAGACCTGCTTCTAAGCCTCTGTTTCAAAATGTATTTGAACATTTTCTAAAAGCCCTAAGATAATATGGTCTTTGAACAGAAGATACTTGAGGTAACCCAAAATAAGACTTTGAACTTCTCAAAGATTGCATTCTCACATTTTAAGCTCTGAAATAGTCTATGGCAAAGTTAATCAAGTATTCAAATAGCAATCACTGTTAGGTACAAAAGATTATTTTTCAGAAGAAAACAGGTACAATTCAAAAATCTATTAATATTTTATTATATCACTATCTCAAAATTTAATTTTCTAATAAAGCAATAATTCAATGTATAACTATCACAGTAATTTTTAAAGTTACAATTTGATTTTTATATTAAAAAGAAATATCACATTTTTCAAAACATTAAATTCCAATAAGCTACTTATTTTTAGTAACTATATAAAACATATGCCATTGTAGAAAAATTGATAAATCACATACACAAAATTCTCCCATTTAGGGAAACTATCTAGAAATACTAATTATGGTCTATTCAAATAAACCATTTTAAAAATAAAAGTAATGAAACCTTCTCATTTTTTTAGTTGTATTTTTCAGGAGAGAGGAATCTCAACCGCAAGTCAGCCGCTTTAGGATTTTCTGAAGCAAACTGAACTAAATCACTCTTCATCAAAACTTAAGTACAGTGAAAATTTCCAACACCCCCATGCATCAACTAGCCAAACGTCCTTTCTCTTGTCTTACCTTCCTTCATCGATGTAATCCACTACGAGGGTGCTGAGGATAAAGAGAATGAGCAGGGCGATGAACATGTGATAAATTGTTCTGATGTGGTCCACCTCGAACAGCTCACTGTAAATGTAGTTTACACAAACCAAATTAATAATCTACATTTAATTGTAAAACACCCTATGTTAAAGACTTGGCTTTAAAGCAGCTCAGAAGATACGTCATCCACCCTCCAAAAACATCTCAAACGGCAATCACAGAATATTAAACCTGAAGTAGAGACAGTAAATGACACGACCAAGGTAAAAATTCATGGAAGAGCTTAGGACAAGCTCTTTCCGATGAAATGATACTGCCTCCTAGAAAACAGCATGGATATAAAAGGAATGGTATACATTCCTGAAGCCATGGTTTTCTAAGGTAGGCAAATGGCCGTTCGCTAAAAACAGGGAACACAGAAACTATTTCGAATGCTAAAAAGATTTTTAAAAATCCTTTCTTACATTCCACTCCCTACACTTAACTTAAATACATACTATATAACTATCTACTCCCAAGATGTTAAGATTCACACGTATGTGTTTCTATACTGTTGATGATAACCAACGGCAAGCCCTACAAGTCTATAAGTTTAACCATTTACAAATGCTTTTATTTTCTATCCTCATTGATCTTTTTATTTGACTGAGACTGCAGCATAACTTCAAGGAATTTATCAGAGGACAGATAACTATTCTTATTTCTAACATCTCCTTTGAAACTAGATAAAGAGCCAGAGGATCAGAAAGAAGAAACACGAGACAGCCAAGTGTCAAAACTAATGATTTACATGAATACAGAACAAACTCATTAAGCATTCATGAATTAAGCAGTGATTCTAACTATCAGAATAGTTGTTGTTTTTTTTTAATTCAAACAAATAATTAACTAAAGAAACAAAAAAATACTCACTCTAAGAGAGATCGCCTCACAACGAAAATCTTTCCATGTTCTGGAGGTGCTCTGAGATCTCTGGGAAGAGCAAAAAAAAAAAAAAAATCAAAACAAAATATAAATACGTCAGTATTATAAGAAATGTAAGCCTAGGGATAAGAGAAAGAACATTACCAACGACAGCAAGTGACATTAATAACCGCCCTCTCACTATAATCCAGGTGCTGCGATAAGGACTTTATGGGTGTTACCTCATTTACACCTTCTGAACAATGCAGATAGGCAGATGCACACCTATCTGGTTCGGGGGCAAGAAATATTACGCACACCCAACTAAAGCAGCACTGGCTCCTGGCGTCACACACGGACAACCACTCTTCCTTCTCCTAAGCATCCCTAAGGCCACAGACAGGCCTCTGGCCATACTTCCGGTTCACATACTGGTCTGTTCTCCGAAACTGCACCAATATTTATGATACCCTCCCCCAATGTCAAAGGACTTCCAACAATCCTGAAAGGCTGCCTCCAGTTACTAAAGGCTCACGTTTGAACATCTAGTACAGGGGTCAGCAAACTGTGGCTCTTTGGGTAGTTCCATCTCAAAAGTTTGCTGACCCCTGCTCTGGATGACTGACCAATTAGAGAAATATACACTAACTGTGCTGCACTTTATTACAAGGATTGTACAGAGTACACTCGGGAGGCTGTACAGTGAAGTGGTGAAGAGCATGGATTGTGGAACCAGGTCCTGGGGAGAAATCCCTGCTGTGTGATCTTGGACAACACTTAACTGCTCTGTGCTTCAGTCTCCTAATCTATAATACACAGATCGTTCCAGTATCTACCTCATAAGGTCATTGTTCGGTTTAAAGGTAAAACACTCAAGTGTCTGCATAGTCTTAAATGAGGTCTGCACATTTGTTATAAACCACATTTAAGATAAAGAACCCCCCCACCCACACCCGTCCCCCATGGTTGAATAATCTGCCCAAGGCAACACGCAGCTGATGAAGGTGCCAGGGTGTGAATCCAGGCATTTCTGGGGCCCACATTCTGACCGCTGGGCTATACCAGAGTAGATGTTTGCATTAAAAGAAACTAATACTCTTACTTACTTAGCTCTGTGGTTATTCTCTCCTTCAAGAACAGAAAAGGTTGTGAGCGCACAGCCACCATTGTCTAATGATGCTGATTTTTCAATGAGATTGGTCACAAAGTCATCAAAGTGAGTGCCAACTTCCTTCATAAAAAATGGCTTCAATTCCTAGAATTTTACAACAAATGAAGGAAAGCGTTAGGAACTAACTCATGCTTATGGGTTATTAACATTGTCCTAACGGGTTCTCTTAAATAGAGCTGGATCAAAGAAATCCATGTCAAGCGAGTTCACAGGAGTAAAAACAGAAAAATGATTTCTACAGCTGACCTGTAGTTTCAGAAATGGCTACTTATAAAGCAACATGATGATTTGTCTTTTAAAAAATTTATATCGTTTCAAGCATAAATCAAGATATCAAGCAGTCACCCACTAAATGAACACCTACAAATAATATACAAAACCAAAATAACAGAAATGATAAAAAAGACAGTATGTTTTTCTCTTCAAATTTTTATCCGGAAAACAAAAAGTAAAAAATCAGTATTATATAAAGTCCCCTTTCTTCTCAAGCAACGCCTTCACCCAAGTACCCACTCTTTATATTTTAGATCATGTCATTTCTATATATTACCAACAGATACACGATAATGTTTATTCCTACCTCCATAGCTATAGATTAATCTAACAGTAACATATATTTTCGTAACAAAATTGTTGTACATTTTGGTCCCAGACTATTTTTAACATCCAGTTTTTGAAAAGTATGAAGCCAAAAACGATTTCTTCAGATTACAATAGGCCACCTACTATGGATGCTCAAACTGTAAATCTGGGTATTTTAAAATTGGAAGCACTCATCTACACAAAAGCACACAAAGAGTTAACTTTCTAATTTTTCCATGAAAAAAATGTTCTTTCGTCTAAATCAGTCATTTAAGTTAAACCTAAACTATGTGAAGTAACATTTTTCTAGGTTCTGTTATATACTAAGAGTTTGTCCATGTCCTTTAAAAGTAAAGCCAAAAAAATATCAATGTGTCTAATGGAATTGCATGAAGCCTTTTCAACTTCTGTCTCCCACAGTCCTCAAATGCCATTTGGGTCCTGGGCACAGATGAGGATACACATTTCACAAGACAGCTGACATAGATGGAAAATACAAAATACACACATATAAGCAATACACAGAAAAGTGTCACCTGAGCGATATAACCATCAATGAAGACTCAAAGAACATATAATGGTTTAGCAAACAAAGAAACAAGGATGAGATGACTGGAAATGTCTTCTTTTAGCTGGGAGTTGAGCTGAAACCTCAAAGGATCAGTAGGATTTAATTCTAAGTGAAAAATGACAGAAGGAGGCAATGTGATAAAAAGCAGAAAGATAGGAAAATATCAGCCAAAACAGAAAATGTGAATGACTTTAAGGACAAAATACAGAAGAAGATCTATGTTCCCTAGGAGAAAGAATAGGTTGGTTGGTTGGTTGGTTTTATTGGGGAACTGGGAGAGGGGAACAGCGTTGAGGAATCAGGGAAGGGGAACAGACAAGTTGCTGTCCTTTTGTTCTTCAGTCTAGTTGTGGAGGACGTTGCTTCACTGGTCCATGTTGGTATTATCATTGTGCTCTTCCCAGGTGAGGCAGATTGGTCGCCGGCCATTGGACGGCCCCTCACGGCAGCTCTTGGCAGCTCACACCGGCTGCCAGCCACTCGCAGTAGCTTATGGCAGCCCACTTAAGCCCTGCTGCAGCCTACGCTGTCACCAGCGACTCACGGCAGCCCAGCTCCAGGTCGAACTGTTGTTCACCATCTTAGCTGTACAGGGCGCAGCGTCACTGGCCCTCATGTGAGATCCGAACTGGTGGCCCTGCTGCTGCTCAGAGCTGGCATCCCAAGCCAGCTCGAGCTTTAACCAAAGCGCCACTTGGCCAGCCCAAGAACAATTTTTACAAAATTATTCACATTAAGGTTATCTAATAGTATTTCATTTTAGCTCCTTTTCCTTGTTCCATTTCAATTATATGCCATCTTCATTTCGAATTTTTTCTTCTTCTACAATTTATTATTTATTTTTTATTAAATTTATTGGGGTGACAATGGTTAGTAAAATTACATAGGTTTCAAGTGTCCATTTCTTCAATACATCATCTATATATCACAGTGTGTGCTCACCACCCAGAGTCCAGTGGTTCGATGGGTTAGTACACGGTCTTTATACGACAGTGCGAGGAGAGCACTTTGAAATCTTTAAATTGGTTGCTTTCCCCAACTAAAACCAAAACAAACCCCCTCAAAAAAGTAACATAAAAAAAAAAGGTTCTTTCTCATTTAATCTCTAGAATTGGACTAATTAATAAAGATTTTTTTTTCCAGCTACAAAAATGATGTCCCAGGTACAAGTATACTAAAAGAGAAGAAGGAAAATCATTCATTCATTCTACTAAGTGCTAGATATCGCTCTGGGGACTGTTGGAGGTGGAGACACCACAATGAACAAACCAAGTCCCTGCGCTCATGGAATGTAGATTCCAGTGGGAGTAAACAGGACCGACAGTGCGCCAGCTGGTATTATGCAAAGTAATAAAGCAGAGGGAGAAGGGCGGTGGCATTCTTTTTCAGAGAGGTCAGGGAAAGCTTCAAAGATAAGATGCCATTAGAGACGATGTGAAGAAGAATAGGAGGGCAAAAGTGAGTGGATACCTGTGGGGAAAGGACCAGAAAGAAAGAAGCAGAAGTGAAAAGGCCTTGAGGCAGGAACACCCTCGGCATGTTTGAGAAACAGCAAGAAGTAGGACTTCATAGCTGCAGCCAAAGTGTGGTAAGAATTGAGGTCACAGAAAAGAAGGGGGGATGGCAGGAGGGGGCTGAACCACCCAAGGTCGGCACGCTCTACTCCCCGACTCATCTCAATCAGTCCACAGACATTTTACTCAGTAGTAAATCACAAGCCTGGAATCTGGAGATGTGGCAAAGGGAGGCCAGCTCTGGCTTTTAGCGAGGATTCCTCATGCTGTGGAGCCAGCCAGCCTCCTGCCCAGTGAAGGGCTGGGTTAGGCAGACCACGGTGAATGTTACACAAATGTCAGTAAAAACTGCTGAAATCAGGTCCTGATCCACCCAACTCCAGAGGAATGTAGTCAGCGTCTTGTGGTTCAAGGTCTTGTGCCTTACTGGCTACTTGCCCGCAGATGAACCTTTGTCATACATTCCAAACAACTTGAAACGTCTAGTCATTTAGTAAGAAGGTCTGCAGCAATCTCCTTACCGTCACCCTCCTGATCCATTGTAGCCATTCCTTTTCCCCTTCCTCCTATCCGCTTCTCTCCCTGCTTCGGGACTCCTACCTTTTCATCTTCTCTAGTCATCCCACAAATAAGGGTGTCCCTTGTTATCCCAAGCCGCCACCTGATCTCAGGGACCAAACAGATTTGGATAACAAGGAGTATTTCTATTATTAAACACCTTTGGTGGTGAAGGAGATACACACACTCCTGCTCTTACCAAGCTCATCATCTATCAACAGGCAAAGACATAAATTATTAACGGTGCAGTGACTACCACAAAGAAAGAGCAGTTCAGAGTGACAGGAGAATGAAGAAGAAAGGAAAAGAATAAAAACGGCAGGCTGATCTCAATAGCGTGAGGGTCGTTACATAAGGTGGCAGCAGGTGCTAAGTCTCCTTGTAACTCTTCTTTCACAACCCCCGTCTGCCTCCTGTGACTCCAACCCCTGACACCTCAGACAAGGCAGAACCCTGCTTGGGTAGGCTGAGCTAAAAAAAGGCCCTTATTTTAACGTGATTAATTCATGTCTTTTGTGTTTTTTTTCCTGCAATAAAATTTACATGTGAGTAGGACAGGAACTCACATCTAAATCTGTACTTGAGCTAGTACAATACTAAGAAAAAAGATGTCTTTAGTGCTGATAATAAAGGAGTGGTAGAAATACGAGCTTCCATTCAGGCAGACCTGAGTTCAAGTTCTATCCCCGCCACCTGTATGTGGCCTCAGGCAAGCTGCTACACTTTTCTGAGCAGTTCCTTCCATGCCAATAACATCTACCTTGCTAAACTGTTGTGTGAACTTAATTGTTTAAAAAGCCCAAACAAAAACAAACAAACAAAAAGCCCTGCAAAAAACGCACAGCACAGTACTTGACAGTTATCACTCTATAGATATTTGTAGCTCCAATCCCTCCCCACTCAAGTCAGAGCTAACTTATAAAGAAACAAATGCAACAGTGTAACAATGCAACAATACAGTAAAAACTGCAATTTAAACCAAGTCTACCATTTAGTGCCATTACTATTAAAAGGTAACTATTTGAACCCACCACCTTCCTTTACATAACATTATACTAACTAGGTGCCCAATGTTCATGTCTTAATGCCCTTTCCTCTTTCTCTGAGGAATTCAAGATGACAGAAGCTGCTGCCACCAGGAGGAAGAATTCTACTGTGGACACCATTACGGTTCCCAGCCTCCTTTCGTGTATCCAAGTACTGATGAAAATGAAGAGTGGCTGCTTGTGACTGTCACCCCCATTGTAAGAGGGAATATTGAAAAAGACAGACGTGCTCCCACATCTGTCTTCTTCAATAACATAAAACAGGCCTCAGTCAGAACTTCAAAATGTGATCACAATACATCTGAGTAATGTCTAATACCAGTCACCTGAAAGGCGGTGAAGGTCATAGGCTTTCTCATTTGCTTCTCTTCCCAATCTCATCTCTATTAATATTCATTGCACCCAGCCCATGGACTATGAGTGTCCCAGCATGACGACAGATGGACAGAAGGACAACGGCAGAAAAAGGTAGGCAATTAGCTAGAAACTAAACAGCAGGTGCTTGGCTAATCTAGTAAACAGAATCCAATAGTTTAGAACTCAAAGAAACCTTACTTTTAAAATAAGCAGCCAGGGGGCAGCCGGTTAACTCAGTTGGTTACAGTGCAGAGCTCATAACACCAAGGTTGCTGGTTCGATCCCCACATGGGTCACTGAGCTGCACCCTCCACAACTAGACTGAAACAACTACATGACTTGGAGCTGATGGGTCCTGGAAAAACACACTGTTCCCCAGTAAAAATTTAAAAAATAAAAAATAAATAAAATAAGTAGCCAAAGTAGACCACCTCTGAGATTATAAGAACGGGGACA